ACCCACCCCAACCCCTAGCCAACCCGCCCTCACCCGCACCCCCACCCCCGCCTTCTCGCCCTAACCCTGTCTCACCCAAGCACGCCCGCACACCGCTGGGGGGGCACCTGGCGGCCAGCTGTGAACACACCGGGTAGCTGTGAGCAGGACGGCCGCACGCCGCTGCATCTCGCGGCGCGGCGCGGCAATCTAAAAGCGGCAGCGCGGCTGGTGGACCGCGGACCTAGAAGCGGGATAAGTATTCATGTCTCCCAACTAGCGCCCGAGAGGACACGTATTCAGCTGTATTCGCCCGTATTCCGCTGTATTCACTGTATTCTTCTCCGTTGTATTCGCGCGGTGCTCTGAACACACTGCACAATAACGTCTTCCCGCCGTGAGGTTGGCGTATTCAGCACGTAGGATGGCGAGGGGAAGACTCCGCAGCATGTGGCGGCAGAGGCAGGTCACTCCGCACTAGCTTCGAAGCTCGTGCCGCCGCCGCCCTCGCCGCCGCCGCGCCACTCGCCGCCCCCGTCCTCGCCGCCGCCGACGCCGCCGCCCACGCCGCCGCGCAGCAGCGTGGCGGCCGCGGCATGGCGCTGCTGGCCGAAGCTCCTCTCCCTTAGAAGCCGGAACACGTATGCTTGTACTAGTACCCCAGCCAGCGCTCGAGAGGACACGTACTCCGCTGTAGTCAGCTGCGTTCGCCTCCCTCGTACTCACGCGGTGCTACGAGTACACGGCTCACACTACCGCACCCCCCACATCTCCCCACATCTCCCCACATCTCGGCCTCGTTGACGAGGTATTGGATCGTGTCCTCCGTGACGTGCGGCGATCTCCCCCATATCTCCCCCATATCTCCCCCTATCTCCCGCCGTCATGCTGGGTGTCTTCCCTCTTTAGGCTCCTCTCCTCCCCGCCCGCCGCGAACCCCGCGGCGGTCACCAGCGCCACCGACCTCGGCAACGACGGGCGCTTGCCTTCTTGTTTTTTACTGCCACCCCGGCCTCGCCCACACCCCTCTCCCTCCAGCCACGCTCGCCCACACCCCCCTCCCTCCAGCCACGCTCGCCACGACCCATCACCACGACTCACCGCCCACTGCCGAGAGTGCGCCGAGAGTGCGGCTGTTGCACGGCGGGCGTGAACGGCGCCTCTTCACACCTGCTGCCGTAACCGGCGCCTCTTCACACCTGCTGCCGTAACCGGCGCCTCTTCACACCTGCTGCCGTAACCGGCGCCTCTTCACACCTGCTGCCGTGGACACAGCGCGGAGGTGATGCTCGAGCCGGTCACGACATGCGACGGGCACACGTTCGAGCGCTCGGAGATCGAGCGCTGGTTCGCCACGCCACGCCGAGACTACCCACCCCGAGATCACCCGAGATCACCCGAGATCACCCGAGATCACCCGAGATCACCCGAGATCCACCCACTCGAGTGCAGGTTCGCGACGTACGCAGCCGACCACCCGTCCTCGGCGCCTCCATCTCGGCCTGACCTCGTCTACCATCTCGGGCTCATCTTCTTCTAGACCTTTCCTAGACCTTTTCCTGGAACCTTCCAGGCGCCGTCTCCGCTCACGGGGGCGATGCTGACGACGACGGGGCTGGCGCGCCAGACGCCGCGGCGGGAGGGGGCTGGCGCTGTGAAGCGCGTCTCTTCACGGCCGCCCGAGGTGTGAACAGGTGCCAAACATCGCGCTGCGGCAGATGATCGAGGTCTGGCGTTTGACGACGGCGTTTGACGCCAGCCGACCGCGACGGCGCCCGCGAGTTTATGCAGGCGCGTGTGTATTTGTTGTGGCGCGGTTGCGCGCCGTGTGAGCGGCGAGGAGCTGCGCACAGGAGCATGTTGCGTGGGGCGGGCGGTGCGGTCGCCCGCCCGTAGTCGGGGATCCTAAGCGGAGAGGAAAGGGCTTGACGCGGCGAGTTGAGAGGCGGCAGGGCCCGACGGCGATTTATCAAGGACTGTCGATTGAAACAGCACGTCTTAGGCGTGTGTGGTCCCTTCAGGATGTGCTGTCATTGCACCAGGTCGTGTGTTGTTTGTCAGTGATTTTGTGCTCGACGGAGGTGTGTGTGTGTTTTGTCGACGGACGTGTTTTGTGTGTTTTGGTTCTAATGAGAGTCCGACGACAGCCGATCAACCTGTGCACAGCGAGCCCCTGCGCCATGGTCGCGGGTTCACAGATCACAAGGGGGAGTGCATTCGGCGGAGCAGGAGAACAAGAAACACGGATCGAATCGGACAAAAATAGATGCATGTGTACTCTATGGACTGTCTATGCCAGTGACGGAAGGGAGCCAGTGCGCACTGTACGTGTGTGAGATTCTGTAGAAGAGCTAGCGCACTGACACCGAAGAGAGTCTCATGCCTGCCCGGCACGGCGCGCCGCGCGGGCCGCCGTCATCAGCTTCTGGCCCTTCGCGAAGAGCCGCCGCGCCTCGTCAGCGGGGTCGGAGCTTGACCCTCCTGCCGCGATCGGGTCGTAATTCTTGGTTGCCAAGAAGTATTTGGTGCGGTTGCCGTAATCGATGGATGCGCGGACGGCCCGCTCCGTCTTCTCCTTGCCCGCAAGAAAGGCATTAAAGTCGTCAAAGTTGTTGCCAATCGACCGGTTGAAGGTGGAGCCGAGCGCGTAGAGGAAGTTGTCGGGGTGGTTGGCGCCGCCGTTGGATTCGGCGATGATGTGGAAGACGTCCTGGCCGTCGATCGCGTCGTCGCCGAGCAGCGAGCGCAAATGGCGCGCATACCTCGCTCGCGACATGCACTCCCTCTCAAAGCCGGGCCCCTGGGGCTCGTCCTCGACCTCGCGAAGCTTAGTCTCGAGCTCGGAGTTTTCGTTCCGGATTTCTTGGAGCTCGGCCTCGGCTGTCTCAGCACTCGCGACATACCAGTCCGTGACCGCCCTCTGCGCAGCAATGGCCTCGGCTGACGCCGTCTCCGCGGCTTGCGTCGCAGCGACATTGCCTGACGCCATAGCGCTGAGCACTCCAAACGCCCCCGCCATCATCTGCTGCTGCATCTGCTGTATCGCCTCAAGCCCCGCCTGCATGAACTGCTGTTGCGTCTGCATGAACTGCTGCGTGAACTGCTGCATATCTTGCTGTATCTGCTGCATCTGCTCAATCCCCGCCTGCATCTGCTGCGCGCCCGATGTCGATGCTACGCCTGCTCGGGCCGCCTCCGCCCCACTCTGCTCCGCCTCCGCCTGGCGACTGGGCAAATCGGCCTCGCCCGCGCCGGACGACGACGCCGCCATGCTGCTGCCTCTTCCAACACCGCTGCAGAGGTAATGCAGGACGGTCCGCTTAGCCTCCTTGATCCTTGCGATCCCATCGCTGTCGCTGTCGCTCAGTCCGTCTATAATCATCTGGGCGCACCGAGCAACGATGTCACGCTCGGGCGGCACCTTCGGGAGATTGAGGACAGCGAGTGCTTCAGTTGGATAAACCGGATGGTTGGCCGAGGGTGAGGACGATGTCGCAACAAGCGATTGGGCACGCGCCTCCTCGTCCTCCTGCTGCTCGATCACGCGCTTGGACTCTGTCATCTCGCGCTTCGGGCGCTTAGCCTCCGCCTCCGCCTCCGCCCCCGCCTCCGACCCCGCCTCCGCCTCCGCCCTCGCCTCCGCCTCCGCGTCCACCGCCGCCGGTGAAGCGTCGCGGCCCTCCTTGAAGCCGTGGTGGATAAAGTGGTCGCGCGCCTTGGTGTGATCGTCGCCGAATGCCTCGGCCAGGTCGTTGTAGCGCGCCAGGTACGCGCCCCAGTCGGCCGAGGCGAGGGCCGGCTCGAGAGAGTGCGTCTTGATCATGTCCAGCGCGTACTCGGCCGCCTCCGCCTGGCCATCGCCATAGCTGGCAAGCTTGTTCAGGGCAAGCGCTCGACCGCCTTCCGCACTTGCCTGCAGCTGATGATTCGCAACCGGCGCGGCCAGGCCTGCCTGGCAGACATCACTTCAGCTAATAGCCATCTGCTCCCCTCGTTCCGAGAGGACCTCTCACTGAAGGTGGCGCGCCAGACGGGCGGCAGCTCGTGCGGCGGCTCGGGCGCATGCAATGGCGACAACGAGCAAACCTCGATCGGCGAACATGTGGCCACCGACTTGACCTTTGTTGTGCTGTGAAAAGGCTTCAACCGGCTGCCCTTCCTCCCGCTGCAGCGCGGCGACACGGTGGTGTCTCGCGCGCTGCACAATGTTGCCAACCACACAGCATTCGCCTTTGTCGGTGCCCGCTCAACGAGCAAAGTTCGCCTTTGTGCTGAGAATCGCCGTCTAGGTTGGCGCCGTGCATGCTGTAGGCCTGACCGACGAGTGGAACGCATCCATTTTGCTGCTGCACGCGCGCCTCTTCCCACCATCGGTTTGCGCAACCAATCAGACAAGCAAAGTACACAGAGGGTAGGGATGGGAAGTCTCCAACGCCGCACCAGCTCCGGGGATGCCTGATCGACTCTTAGCCATCGCCCACGTCCCCCGCAGGTGCCCATTTTGCGGGAGGCGCTACTGGCGGCACATTCACCCTTCGCCCCACGCTGGCATCTGCTCACCAGCGATGCGACGAATAGGAGCTGCTGAACATTCACCCCTCCGACAAGAGGTGTCTCGCACCGAGGTGCGGAGGATGGCCCAACCCTTTAAGCTCGGTGGACTTGCGCCTTCTTAGGTACCGCGGTCGTAGCTTCTCCGTCAGGCCAGGCTCTGCTGGCATGCAGGACGGTCCGCCGCCTCCTAGCGCAAAGCGCTCCAGCTTCGAGCGGATCGAGCGCGCGTACGCATCGCTGAGCAAGGCGGAGCGGGCCGCCGCCGCTGACGACCCCGACCACCTCATCTACGCCGCGGCGCGCGTCCGCTTCTGTACCGACTTCCGGCGCGCGTATCGTGGGCGGGAGGCTCCGCCCGATGCGTGCACGGAGAGCAAGGGGCCGCTCGTGGGCGCCGCAAGCGCCGCAGCCCAGCGAGAGCGCGCTGAGGCGCTCCTCGACGATTGGAAGGTGCGCGCGGGGAGGGGGGCGCCGCCGGCTTTAGTTGTGAGCGGGGGTGCTGTGCCTGTGGGGCACAGCAGGAGACCGAAGTCCTTAACGTAGGACCTAGGACCTTGCCGCAGTCCACACACACAGTCTCACCGACCAAGACCACACGAGCACAAAACGCGGCCGCAACGCTCCTCTAGTCCTACGGCTTTACCAGCAACCAGGATCGAACTACCCCACCGCTCGTTTCATAGCTTGAAGAAGATTCTTGATCTCATCTTTCACAGATGAGTTTCACAAGCGATAATCGCGGGTACCCCCGGTTGCGCGCGCCCGCGCGTTGGGTCACATATACGCCGTAACTCATATAGTTTTCTGTACGTAACACAACATGCACCTCTCCCTCTTGCCGAGCTCTCTTCCCAGCGCTCTCATGTGCCATTTGAGTGGTCTCGATCGACCCATCATACCGCCAATCTCCGCACCTGATCTCACTCCCACCCCGTGACACCCCCACCGTCGCGAACCGCGGAGTAACACTCTCTGACCCCCAACACCCTCCCTCCTTCCGCCGCCTCGCTGCGCCCGCACCGCACCCCCACCGCACCCGCTGCCCAACCCTGCGCCGCTCGTCGCCGGTGGCCGTGCCCCTCTCACCCGCCGCCGCTGCCGCCACCCTCCGCCTGCTAGGGCGAGTCTAGAGCGAGTCTAGGGCGAGTCTAGGGCGAGTCTAGAGCGACCCCCCCCCACCCCCCCACCCCCACCCCCCACTCCACCCCTGCGCCCCCGCGCCCCCGCGCCCCCGCCGACCTTGCTATGGCGAGCCGCCAACCGGCTGCGCGGGCGGAAGGCCTACCGGCGAGCCTGCGCCAAGGTAGTCGAGGTCATCGATTAGATGGCCATGAGTCACTGTTACTTAGTCATAGTGCTGCACGGTACAGCGGGAGGCGGGAGCGCCGCTCTTGATGCCCATATCTCGGCCATATCTCGGCCATATCTCGGCCACACCTCGGCCACACCTCGGCCACACCTCGGCCACACTTCGGCTGCATCTCGGCTGCATCTCGGCTGCACCTCGGCTGCATCTCGGCCACATCTCGGCTAATCTTGGCGCCGGAGGGGCGCGGCGTCGCGCACTTGAAGCACTTGTCGCGAGACGCGTAGACGTTGACTTGGCAGGACGGGTTTGGGCATGCCCAGTCGCCGGGCCGGACCTGAGGTTGTGAACAGCGTCTCTTCACACCTCTAGCTGTGAATAGGCGCTGCTCTCTCGCGGGGCGGACCTGAGGTTGTGAACAGCGTCTCTTCACACCTCTAGCTGTGAATAGGCGGGCCCAGCCGCCTGGCCAGCCCGGAGGGGCGTGTGGGGACAGGCGTGGGGACAGATGTGGGAACAGAAGTGGGACAGATGTGGAGCAGAAGTGGGACAGAGGTGGGACAGAGAAGGGCAAGAAGTGGGCGAGAAGTGGGCGAGAAGTGGGCGAGAAGTGGGAGCAGAAGTGGGGGAAGGTGTGTGGGACAGAGAAGGGCCAGATGCGGGGACAGGCCGTGCCGAACCTGCCCGCGCGCCGCTAGCAGCCCGCCGCCGCCTCCGCCGCCTCCTGCAGTGCGCGGGTCGGGTGGCCGGTCATCCACCAGAGGCACACACGCGTCCTGCACGGAACTACGGGGGCACACGCAAAGGCTCCTCCCCCTCTACCCCCCCCCCCCCCC